TATTTTACTTATTAAAAGTATTAATGTTCTCTTGTGTATCTTAAAGTAAAAGGATTAGGTATAGGAGTATTAAATATATTTTGTACCCTTACGTTGTGAATAAAATATCTAAGTTCCTTTTTCCAGTCTGTATAAATAAGGTCTAGTTGCATTAAATATGTTAGCAAGCAGATTAAATGGATTAGACATAATTAATCTGAATATAAATGCATTCATACAATATGCAAGGTGAATTATTAATACTATCATGCATATTTAAAATTAAAATGAGTTTGTCAACCACATAGTATAATAAATCTCAATAGTATAGGAATTCATTATCACTATTGGTAAACAATCCCTTTTAATTAATGTGGGTCCCTCAACTTCGTAGCATAATAAATTACACCATCAATATGTCAATAACTTATCCTGATGGAGGAGTTCATTATTACTATTGCTGAGATTCATTTGCTATTAGGCGAGTACTTCTATTAAAATAATATGTGGGTCCCTTAACCACTGTATGAAAAATCGGATAACCAATATGCCAATAACTTATTCAGTTGGCGAAGTTCATTATTGCTATTGGCGGGAAAATTTCATCATTTCCATATCTCTTAAGACAATGCCTTGCCTATATATATGAAATGATTCATGATTATGTTTAGCCTTTCTAAAATCACTTAGTGTAGACCACTCTGTTGGGGAGCTAACACTATTGATTTTAGATTGAGTGTATAACGTTATTAATGCTCCAACAAAAAATAAAACATTAAATATCTTGTCATTATAATCTAGACTCTTTAAATCTTGCGTATGGGCCTTATTTTTAAAGATCTAATTACAATGAACATTTAATATTTTTATTTTCATGAGACAATCATTCTTGTAATTTATAGACTCTTCAAATCATGCGTATGACCTTATTTTTGAAGATCTAATTACAATAGTTATAATAACGAAGGTCATGGGGTAATGTATAAAAATCCCCGCTTCCACTCAATTTTTAATCATTCATAATTAGGGTTTTTTCATTTATTCAATTACATGATATAATGCATACAAAATGCCTTGATCTTAATCCAATTAAATTTAGAAAATATTTAGACTTTAAATGATTCACTAATATTCAATTTGAGGCACACCTTTTTTTAAAAAAAATAAAATAATTTTTCAAAAATAATTTTCCATTTCCCTTTAAGTTCCCTCTAATTAATCAGTAATCAAATCCAATTAATTTTCATAATTTAATTAATATAAATCAAGTCATTTAAATAAATATCATGAATCCAATGCATGAATAATAATTAATTAATAATCATCTATTCTATGCATTTCATAAATCACATAAATAAATAAATGACAGATAAAGCAAATAAAATGGCCAATGGATTTAGCTTTTAACATTTAAATGCTCTAATTGTTACGCGAGGATCCATTATAGGCTTGTGGACACCAGGAGGTTGTAACCCGACCCCATGCGCTATCAGACGCCTTTACGGTCATCTAACGAGCCTGCACGCGCCTCTAAAGGTTTCCAGCATGTGTCACACGCCTGCAGGCGCTAGAAAGAGGTTGAAGTGCGTGCCCATGTGCGGGCATGCGCGTGTGGCAATTGCCAACGCGTTACACGCGCTAGCACATGCCTATTGGTGCCGATTGCAATGGCATAGCTCCTCATGCGCTTTTTGTATGGGGTGCGCCTTAGGCGTACCGTAAGCACTACTACACCGGATCATCTCCAACCGCCTTTGTTGATCCAGTGGCTTCTGATCCGGTTGCACCATATGATGGTGCACCGCGAAGCACTAGATTGTAAGTGCATCCTTTCAACGCCGCCCTCGTCGGCGGTAGCACTCCGGCCGCCGAAAAAACGCCGAAAATTGCAGGAGAAATTCAAAAAAATTCCAAAATTAATTATTTAGCCCAAAAAATTCCAAAAAAATTCTTAAAAATTCCAGAAAATTCCTAAAGTCAAATTTAACCCTCTTGGACCTTCTTGAAGCTTCATAGCATCCTTTGATGAAGATTACATAGCTTTAATAAATATTTACAATTTGAAATATAATGAAAAAAGTTAAATTACATCTTTGAACTTTCAAATGGCTAAATCAAAGTCTTAATTACATTCATTCAAAGATAAAATTACATTTAATTAACCAATAAGATTCATCCATGGCCCAAACATACATCAATGTCATCCAATCAAAAATATACATACATCATGACAATATATTAATATATCGCCCTTTGTGCTCCTGTATATATTTTTCTTTTCTTTTTATACAACCACAATTATGTTAAAAAAAAAAAAAAAAAAAAAAAAAAACATATGCATATATAAATTTGGATCCATGAATGATGATTTTCTTCAATAAAAAAAATATGAACTCTATGCATGAATCAAATCTAGCTCTGATACCACTGTTGGGGAAACGGAAGTTTTTTAAAAACTTTTTAAGTTATTTTCATACATAGATCTTGATTCATCACATAGAGACAAGTTTTATACGAAAATAATAATAATATGATGTATCATTTAATTAATAGATTGAATACTTACATCAAAGGTTTAAGTAAACCTTTAAATCTTTCCTCTAAAGTGAATATTCTCACTTATTGTAGATCATTTAGTAAGATTTTTTCTCCTTCTTTTTGATAGTAATCTTCCCCTTAGGAATCACCAATATACCTCGATGAATGACCTTGGAAGCAAGGCTTGTGGTAGCCTCCTTTAGAAGATAAAGCAAACCCTAAAATCTAGAAAGAGAAAATATATTCTTTCTTTTCTTCCAAAGTCTCTCTTAAAATATACATGGACCCATGCCTATATAGGCAACATAAAGATAAGGAAAAGAAACAATAAATCCTTCTCAATCTCTAATTCACATATCTCAATTCTAATAAGACTCCAATATCAACTTGGGCTGTGGGTGAGAATGCTTTGGGCTTACTATTTTCTTGGCTACTATAAATTAATAATTGGTCTGATTCATTAAACCATGGACCTAATTCAATTAATTCATAAATTAATTTCTACTCCACTAAAAGAAATTAATTGCACTCCAATTAAATAGTAAATAACTTCTAAGTCAATGTTGCACTATGACCCTTCTATATATAATTATTTATCGGATTATAAAGTTATCAATCCGATAACATAATTAATATAATTTTTTTGTTAACTTTGATTATTTTCGGTTTGATCACAATAAAAGTTTGTTTGACAAAAATAATAATTTGCTAAATAAATATATAGAAAACATTTTGTCTAAAACATACGAAGGCCTTCGAATTTAATTTGTGATCAACCATAATCAATACAAAATAAATACAAGTAACATTGATGCAAATATTGAGAATATAACCCTCTAACTATTAATTACACAACTACCCAAAGTATCGGTCTAAGGATCCCAAAGTATCCGCCGAACAAATCAAAATAATTATTAATTAATAAAAAAGTCTATACTTCTCTCATGCTTGAGAGTCAAAAGCCATGACTGTGATAGAGAGCAATTGTATACGATGACCCTCGCAATATATCTCAACTTATCATGGACTCAGTTCAAGTCTTAATTAATTAAATATTCATCGATAATTACTGACTATGAACAATTTATGATTACTATTTATATTCATGTATCGATCGCCATCACATATATATATAAATATCTCTTGTAATCAAGTGGACACTATCAATTTCATAATGAATCGAAACATAATACATTGCATTCACCAATTATATAAATCATAAATATTTCAGATATGTCAGAAACATTTGTTACTCTAATCCAAATAGGAATTTGCTATGTCGGGTATATAAATCCCAACATTCTGAACACAAGGCTCAACTCTCTGTGCCGGTGCTCAACTCTGGAGAAAAATGAATACTAGTGCTCAACTATCGTGTATCGTTGATCGACTCTCTTGACTTGCGAGTATTGATGCTCGATCCATTTTTATGTACTGTTTGCTTTTTCCAAGATTCAAAATTAGTTTTAGACTTCATGGAACAATTATTGTTTTCCTAGTTGGTACTCACGAATGCCTTTTAATCAACCTAAACTCAATTCGAGTCCAAAACCTAGTTCAAAAATCGTCCAGACAATCTATCCATTAATCAACCCAATTCCTGGGTCCTTTAATGTATCTGTTACCCTGTCTAAAGTGTTGTTGGATGTCATGAAGAAGTCCAACGAAATTTTCCGATGCAACTCCATCTTCTCTCCCAATCTTCACTTGTATTTTGGCGAACTTGGGCAGGTTGATCACAGATACTTGACTCAAAATGACGTTCATTCATTACGGTCTTTGCCATGGAAGTCGCTGAACACTAACGCAGTTCCTAAAAGAGTAGACACTTGAAATGATTCACAGCATATATTATCTACGTTTTATAGTTTTGGTTATATGTATTTTGGTGGATTATGACCAACCTAGCAGTCATGATTAGTGTCTCCTGTGTTCTGTCAGATGGGATCTTCACTAAATACAAGTCTATACTGCAAAGTGTATTAAACTCTTGGTACTTAATATCTTACAGCTTACAACTACGAACACCTATGATGAAGTGTGTGAATCTTTTTGTATGTAAGACAGACATTCACTCTTGGGCTATTTGCAGTTTGGACCATGTGTATGCTACATTTTCCTGGCATCATGACAACAGGCAACCTTAGCTTTGATAAATTTATTTAAAGGTGTCCTATTCATAAAGAGCTCTCCGAATAACAAATAGCTACAGAGCGTGGAATTTGCCAGACTCTATCTTCAATGGGGGACCTTAGTTTATCTTTTAAGGGGTGTATTTCGGATTGTTGCAGAATGTGTTTTTTTTCCCCCTTATGTTATCTTTCTTCTTTGGCTTTGGATTTGGTTTTTCCTTTCATGCAAATAGGGGCACATAACTCCCTTAAAATTTTGTACATTTGTTTGTATCTATACAAGTTACTTAACATAACAACATTTATTCAAAGAGCCTGATGAAAATTCTGTTTCCATGCTCTTTGTTTCAGATTTACCAGTTCCAGCTGCATGTACTATATTGGTTTGCCTTTTCACGATGCAACATTTTGGAACCCACAGAATTGGGTTTATATTTGCTCCAGTTATCATTATCTGGATCTTGTTTATTAGTGGGGTGGGTCTGTATAATATCGTCCATTATGACCCTGAAATCATCTGTGCAATATCTCCACAATACATGTTGAGGTTCATAAGAAGCACCAATTTCAGAAATTGGAAATCACTAGGAAGCATCCTTCTATGTATAGCAGGTTAGATAGTGTGTACTTAAGTTACTCGTGCATTCCACTTGATTTATGTCCACATATTCTGTATTACCAAAATAATTTAATAAAAACCGTAGGTTGATATTCTGAAATTTAGTTTTCTTTCCGACTACTTCTCCTGAAAATTTACTTTTGCAGGTTCTGAGGCAATGTTTCCAAATCTAGGTCATTTGTCAAACAAATCTATCAAGGTATATATCGAATGAAGTTGTATTCATCACTGCTAAAATTGGAATATAATGTGTTCTTCATAGTTATGTTCTTCATAGTTACAATGCATTTACGGATGATGTCTCTGGTGCAGGTTACTTTTGTCTGCCTAGTTTATCCAGCTCTTATTTTATGTTATGCTGGTCAAGCTGCATTTATCTCCAAAAATTTGGGCGAGGATATTACTCATCTCACAGAATCTGTACCGAATAGTAAGTAGTTTTCTTTTCTTAGGTTTGTTTTGGTGTGGCTACCTCACCTAAGCTTTCGTATCTCTTACTTGTGGAACACATGGCAAGTTCAGGCTTTATCCGCCATATCTTCACGGTGTTATCCCTATTTGCTTCGGCTATAGGAAGCCAAGCAACCATATCTGCAAGTTTTTCCATCATAAACCAGTGCTTAGCACTAAGTTGTTTTCCCAGAGTAAAAGTTATTCACACATCAGATAAGATACATGGACAAATCTACATTTCAGATGTGAACTGGGTATTGATGGTCATCAGTCTTGCAGTCACAATTGGTTTCCATGACACTGCAAAAATCGGAAATGTTGCAGGTATGCTTTTCTAATAAAAATACTCTACTTTTATTGCCAGAGATCATGAAGGAACAAGACATTTGGGTTCTGAAAATTATATTCCATTATGAATAACTTGGCATTTCAGGAAATAAATTAGTATATATCACGATTGGTAAATATGGAATTTGGAAGAATTCAACAAGTTACTAGAGGAAGTGTCTGAATGTTGTTGCGAGAATTTCAAAGGGAAAAAAAAAAAAAAAAAAAAAACGGAGAGTTGTGCCTATAGTGGTCATGTTTAGTAAGTTTTATTCAACCTATTTACAGGTATAGTCATAATTTGCGGAATGCTTGTAACAACTTGTCTGATGTCACTTGTGATTGTGCTGCACTGGGAGAAGAGTTTGGTGTTATCTGCATGCTTTTTAGTATGGTTTGGTTCGGTGGAGATCATGTATCTATCAGCGTGTGTGTTGAATTTTCACAAGGCAGCCTGGTCTATAGTTTCCCTTTTGGCGCTTTTGATGACCATTATGCTTGCCTGGCACTATGGCACCCTAAAAAAGTACAACTTTGATCTAGAGAACAAGGTGTCCTTAAATTGGCTCATAGATCTTAGCCCCGGTTCTGGGGTTTCCAGGGTACCTGGAATTGGCTTCATCTACACTGATATCGTGACGGGGATCCCAGCTTTCTTCTCCCATTTTATTACAAATCTTCCTGCATTTCATCAAGTTCTGATCTTTGTATCCTTCAAGTCTCTGCCAGTGCCTTATGTTCCCCCAAGCCGAAGATATCTTATAGGCAGGGTTGGGCCCAAAGAGTACAAGGTTTACCGATGCATTGTAAGGTATGGATATTGTGATCATTCGAGGGATACAGATGCTTTTGAGGATCATATTATTCACTCGATTGGTGATTTCATTTCCAGGGATGAAAGTGATTTAGAATCCTTGATTTCTTTAGAAGGAAGAATGATTGTCATTGGAAGCCCAACTACAGATGGGAGTGCATTGATTCCTCTAAATGAGACCACACCGGATGTGGTTCCTACATGCCCCGCAAATGATGGGATTCAAAGAAGTCCACTAGGTGAGTCGTTAGAGACTGATTGTGCTCCTATTAAAAGGAAAAGAGTTCGATTTACATTGCCTCCAAGTAGTCCTAAAATGCCGGTTTCTGTCAGGGAGGAACTCCAAGAACTAGTTGATGCCAGGGAAAGTGGCACTGCATATTTCTTGGGCCACTCGCATTTATCTGTGAGAAATAGCGCAAATTTTCTCAAGCGATTCCTTATCGGGACTTACGTTTTTCTTGATAAAAATTGTAGAGAGCCTCCAGTGGCACTGAACATCCCTCATGCTGCTCTTGTCGAGATTGGTATGATCTACACAATATAAAGTATAAATCGTGTGATGGAAAATCGTTTACTGAATGTATAAGAAAAACATGTATTTGTGTACTCTTACTTAATGATAAAAATGAATTTCATTTGATGGTAGCAGACTTCATTGAGTTTGGAATTCCTTCACCACAAACAGATACCTCACTTAGATTAGTGTATTCTGGGGTTTTTTAAATTTTTTTAATCTTATTTGTTTTCCTCCATCCTCCTTTATTTGTTTATTTTTTTTATTGAATTATCTATGTGCTTGCTGGAAGATGGGACTAGAGACTTTATCAAAGTAATTTATGGGACTAGAGACTTTATCAAAGTAATTTAAAATTTCTGAAAATGTTCAAAACCATGTCTAGTGGCATGTAGGATGACTTCGAACAAAAATTATTACTAGCCATCATCGTTATTCTTGTCTTAATCCCCGTATGAATGGAGTCGGCCCTGAATTCTCTTTTTTCATACGCCATCTCATTTATTATATTTAACTTTTTAAAGTCATATCTCATATTTTCATATATGAGTGATCCTATCTTTTTTAGTCACTCCGATCGATCACCCTAACATTCTCATTTCCAACCCTGTGTCTCGTTTCTTCTATGGCAACTAATCTTCCTCTTTGTACCAACGCATCTATAGGTCTTTCTCATTAATGGATGTCACTCTTAGTTTCTCTCTTATGCTTTCATGAGTGATCCTATCTTTTCTAGTCACTCCGATCGATCACCCTAACATTCTCATTTCCGCTACACGTTGTTCTTGTTTCTTTTCTGCTAGTCCGCTACACAAAGTCGTTGTTCTTGTTTCTTTTCTGCTAGTGCCTATGCAAGTTTAGTGGGAAGGGCAATAGCCCATTTGGACCAAAAGCACATTTTTACCAAAGCAAGAGAGTAGAATCTCATTAAATGAAGGAGCAAAGCTCAAACCATACAATGATTTGCAGCTACATGAAAATTTTGAGGAGGAATGCTAGAGTCTCATTAAATGAAAAGAGAAAAGCTCAAACCATACAATAATTTGCAGCTACATGAAATTTTTGAGAAGGTTCCCTATCAAACAACACAATGCATTTCTGCTAACCGGAGGGGACCGGACAACTGTAGCACAGGAGAGGATTTTGATCCCTCTCCCTACCCACTTTGCATAGAAAGGTAGGGTTATTGAGCTAAACCATGCTAATGTACTCCTTCCACAACTGAGTTGTTAAACCCCATTCCACAGCCAATTTGAGTGCCTGTCTAGCAACCATTACCTCTGCCACCGTAGCAAACAAACTGCAGGCCTGTGAATTTCGCCGTCACGGTCTCTAATCACTAACCCTCCTGCCATTGAATCTTCTTCTAAAAAGCTAGCATCAAAATTCAATTTAAAATGAGCCACTACTTGTGGACTCCATCTTGTAGTAAGCAAGCTTTCCACTGCTTTCATTTCCATTGGAATCTGCTGCCAATGATCGTATCTCCTCCCACTGGTTCAGAAAATTGGATAAGATCTCCTTTTCTGAATGTTCTTTCCCTACAAACAGGAACTTAAACTCAACCAATTTTTTCTGCCCTCTGTTGTAGCCCCAAATTCATAACTGATATAAACCAACATAGCTAAAAGCTGCGAGTGAAAGTGGAGTAGTCAAACCAGAGAGGACTCGACTTCCACAGTTTGACTACAATTGCACATTCCAACAGAGCATGTTCAATTATTTCTGTATCAAGACCACACCTCTTAATGTGTGTTTTAATTATTTAATGAATTGTTTGTGTAACTAGATTAATTGTTTAATTTTAAATGTTTAATTATTTAGTTAGATCTTTTATTTATCTTTCTTTTAAGTTTGGATTGGACTCGAAATAGTTAGACCAATTAAGTGAATCTTGAGCTACTTGGATGGAAACCTAGATGGGTGTGGACAATGGACCCATAGTGGTGTGTGTATATATATATATATATATAATTGAGGTGTGTGTATATATATAAATATATATATTATATTATTGTTGTTGTTATTGTTATTATTATTATTATTGTAGTTGTTGTTGTTAATATTATTATTTTTTCTTTTGTCAGACGTGTCGTAGGATTATGGTAATTTAGATATGTAGTGTGTGTGTGTGTATGTATATATAGTTCGTTTAGTGTGAGGGTTTTCATATGTGAAAAACATAGAGAAAGAAAGGGGTTGAGAGAGAGAGAACCGTGAAGAGCAAAAGGAAGTCGAAGCCGCTGTAAACAAGGAAGAAGAGAGAGGGGGTTGTGCGTGGCTGGTAACCGAGGCCAGCAAAGTAGACAACGACTGCCCAAAGGCTGTTGGCGTTGAAGAAACGAATAAAGAAGAAGGAGATTTGGTTTTCGATCCCCCCCCCCCCCCCTGATCATGTGTTCTATACACCTTTAGTATAGCTTTAGGGAATTTTAACGGAGATTTTAATCATATTTGCATGCTTTAAAACATATAGTAATGGGTGCATATGTATGTATATGTGTATGTATATACAAGTATTGAATCTTGTTAATTGATGCATAACTTGGATCTAAATTGCTCTAATGATGTATAATTGCTTTATGATAATGTTAGTAATCATTTGGGACATAGATGCACGCGTTAAGACCTGAAACTAAAGATTTTAGGACTCAAAACGGACCAGATGAGCTGTGTCTGTGTAACGAACCAAACCCGGGGATCCAAATTGCTAACCAGGTCCTTATCCAGACCGGAGGTCACACAAGGGTACTATGGTCATTTCACATCATTATAATGGTTTTAGAGTCCATAAGGGTATAATACTCATTTATTGAGGTTAAATAATGGTTTAGAACCGAAAAGAGCAAAATAGTTATTTAGTACGTTCATTATAGCTTCTAAACTCATCGGAGGTAAAACTATCATTTTCTATGGTCAATCTATGCTTTAGTTGAAGTTGTAATTAGGTAATTAAACTAAAATCTGGGGTCAAACAGTAAATATTAACTCATCTAACTAGTTACATGATTCCATCTAACTGGTTAGATGACTAGTCCAGTGAACATGTCAAAACTGAGGGTCCATCTAACTGGGTAAATGGGTACATCTAACCGGTTAGATAAAGAAATCCATCCAACCCCTATTCTGCCTACCCAACTAACCGATTAGATAGAAGCATCTAACCGATTAAATCGGAGAAACCCATCAAACCCATGCACTGCCCATTCATCTAACCGGTTAGACACCCCCTTCTAACCGTTAGATGATGCCCAGTGGTGAAATATTCGAGATGATCATTTCCCAAACCTATTCAAATGGAGCCCCAAACAACCAAACATGAAAAATAAGGCTCCATGGACATCATCAATCTTAAAACATTTCATTGAATCATCAAAATAACATCATTCATACATCTTTTATGAATTAAAATCACCTTAAAACATTCATACATGTCCAAAAGAATAGGATTACAATTCAAGGCATGCATGGTCATAATACAACGACTTCATAAAGAGTTGACAAAAGAATAAAGTCATTTACATATGGTCAATTATCCCAATGAATGCCTTTATAAAAGATACAAAATGATCGTCATTCTACTCCTGAGCTTATGGGGGTGCAAAATCTACAACATCCTTGCCATGTTCTGAAAATGTTAGAATATAGGGTGAGCACAACAGCTCAATAGAGATAGCCTAAAGTACACCTCTTGTAATCCCGTGAATCACACCCAAAGCATAGGATAACAAGATAAGGGATCATACAATAGGGGGAAAATATCATACATTATACATTGAATTCCGTGCCCTTCAATTAATGAAATGAATGTTTGTACGAAAGCGTAATAAGAAAAATGAAATCGTGAGATACAAAGCCCGACTGGTAGCTCAAGATTTCTCACAGAGACCTGGTATTGATTATGAGGAAACATACTCCCCTGTGATTGATGCAACCACTTTTAGATTCATAATACACTTGGCAGTCACAGAAAGATTGCATCCGCATCTAATGGACGTAGTTACAGCATATTTATATGGATCACTAGATAATGATATTTTTATGAAAATTCCAGAAGGATTTAAAATGCCTGAAACAAAACCATGTAATATGTACTCGATAAAATTACAACAATCCTTGTATGGATTGAAGCAATCAGGACGAATGTGATACAATCGCCTTAGCGATTACTTACTCAAAGAAGGGTATGTGAACAATCACACTTGTCCATGCATTTTTATTAATAAATCAAAATATGGTTTTGTTATTGTTGCAGTATATGTTGATGATCTAAATCTTGTGGGAATATTGGACAAGATCGAAAAGACGACCACTTATTTAAAGAAGGAATTCGAAATGAAAGATCTTGGAAAGACAAAATTCTGCCTTGTCCTGCAGGTTGAATATTTTTCGAGCGGAATTCTCATCCATCAATCAACATATACAAAAAAGATTCTGAGACATTTTCATATGGATAAAGCCTATCCATTAAACTCTCAAATGATTGTTCGATCACTTAACATCAAGAAAGATCATTTTCGTCCTCGAAAGGATGATGAAGAACTCTTTGGTCCTGAAGTGCCCTATCTCAGTGCGATTGGTGCTCTTTTGTATCTGGCAAATTGCACAAGACCTGATATAATTTTTCCAGTCAATTTATTAGCACGGTACAGTTCTGCACCAACTCGCAGACATTGGAATTGAATCAAACACATATTGCGATATCTTCGTGGCACAACTGATATGGGATTGTTTTATTCAAAAGCATCAAATTCTCAATTAGTTGGATACGCAGATGCCGGCTATCTCTCTGACCCACATAAAGCTTATTCACAAACAGGATATGTGTTTATCTATGGTGGCATTGCTATATCATGGCGATTTATGAAACAGACAATGATTGCAACTTCTTCAAATTATTCTGAGATATTCGCAATTCATGAGGCAAGCAGGAAATGCATTTGGTTGAGGTCAATGATCCAACATATTCGAACAATATGTGGTCTTTCATCAATGAAAGATAGCCCAACAATATTATATAAAGATAATGTGGCATGCATTGCACAGATGAAAGAAGGATATATTAAAAGTGACAGAACCAAGCATATCTCACCAAAATTCTTTTATGCACGTGAACTCCAGAAAATGGGTGATATTGATATTTAGAAGATACGTTCACGTGAAAATCTAGTAGATTTATTCACTAAAACGCTTCCAACTACAACATTCAAGAAGTTGGTGCACAACATTGGAATGCGTCAACTAAAAGATCTTCAGGGTTAAACTAATGAGGGGAAGCAATTGATCAAAGAGGTATTGGCATGCTGTACTCTTTTTCATTCGTCCAGGTTTTGTTCCACTGGGTTTTCCTCACAAAGTTTTAATGAGGTAGTTTTTAATCTATTTAATACCATTTTTCAAATACACAAAAATACTGTACACTTTTTCCTTCGTTAGGGTTTTGTCCCACCGAGTTTTCCTTAGCAAGATTTTAACAAGGCATATTCTTAGTCTAGTATTGTGGACCCCAATGGGGAGTGTTATATATATCTATATAAGTGTGTGGGATCCCCAAATATATAAATCATCCAAGAGATCTTCCATGAAATCACATTTTTGAGGCTTATAAGAGAAGATACCATAAGTGGCGTACATGGGAAGCTTGATTTGAAGCCTATAAATAGGCCTTATGTATGTACTGATTTTGAGTGCACTAAATGAGAAAGCTTTCCCCTCTCTCTCTCTCTCTCCTCTGAAAGGCTTTTTTCATTCCTTTAATAAAATTACTCTATAAATATATATATATATATATATATATATACATATATATTTATTACAGATTTGTATGTTTTTTTTTTTGAAAGGTGAAGCAATTGTAAATTTTGTTTGAAATGTACAAGGCCCAAATAAATCCCAAGCTAAAGGATTACAAAAGTGACCCAATGAAAATTAAACGAAGCACAATATCAGCCGAACATAACCCAACCCATCTAATACCCTACCCAGGTCTAGGCCCAAAACAACATAGCCATTGATAATGCCTTGTTGACATAATCAATGGATATAACTTACAAAAGTGACCCAATGAAAATTAAACGAAGCACAATGTCAGCCGAACATAACCCAACCCATCTAATGCCCTACCCAGATCTAGGCCCAAAACAACATAGCCGTTGATAATGCCTTATGTTGACATAATCAATGGATATACCATACAATCCGGTGGTCAATAATAAACGTGCTCGCGAAGACAGCCTATCGAAGCATTAGACGGTGGCTTCTGGTTGTTGTGGTGGTGGACGGTGCCGTGGAAGGTTTTCCCACTCAGTGAGGAGATCAGAGGGCACTTCATTGACTGAAAGTGTGGAGAGCTTTTCAAAGACAGTGGATTGTATTATCCTCGATCATCACCGTATTCTGTAACGATCGATGAAAGATTCGAGCATTTCGCTCGCTCTAGATGTAATAAACTGTCGATGAAACAGCAATTTTGTAAATTAAACTCCAAGGAGTGTTTCCCATCCAGTGGAAGCTAGCCCAAGTGACGAAACATCACAATTAGAGCTTTGTGTGTAAAATCAACACATATTCTAGATTCCGCTGCAGATGGGTGAGACTTATAAGCAAGAAAATAATATATGTGAGTAGTTTTCTGGGATTTCACCACACAACAAACAAATATTTTGGGAGTGGGATATTCAAGAATGAGGTACATTTATTGTCCAAAGTTAGGAGTTTTGATTTCACTGCTATCCAGAGGATGAGGGAATTCCTTGGAGCAGCCTTAGATTTCCATATCAAGTTGAACCAGGGTACATTTGGTAGTTGGCCACTGATGTGGGCAAGGGTATGCTTCCTGTTGGTAAAGGAAGCCATCAGTATGTATCATTCCTGTGTGGTGAAGGTGAAGGGATCTGGCCAGCTCGGGGAGGAGGATGGTAATGGGATGTGGAAGGGACCATGTTTCACCATCAATAAAGTGGCTAACTTTAGTATCAAGTCGGATATTGCTTCCCAAAATGAGCTAATAATTCTCAATTCTGCATGAAATAGGGCCAAGGGGAAACCAATTGTCCTTCTAAAATTATCTATCCTTGCCATTGCCAATTATGTGCCTAATGAGTTTCTTTGTGAGTGGACGGAGCTGCAGGATCTTCCTCTAACTCCAGGAGTAAGACTGTGGAATGAACAAACTAATAAATTGGGAATTTGGGACAGAGTACTAAATTGGGAAATTGGGGATTAGTTTGTTTGCTTCATAGTCACACTTTTTCCATTGGAACTTGGGATATTGTACTCGCTACTCATTTGAGTTTAAAATTGTTTAGTGAATTGTTGTCAAGCTTGAAAATTCTTACAGATTGTTCGTATGAATCTCATTTTTTATAGAATGTAGCATGTCCTTGCATAGGCTAATTGGTTGACTATTGTAGCATTTGAAATCCCCAAAAGCTGATTGTTGAGTGTTTCATTGCTGTTACGCTATAAATGTGAATTACCTCCATATTTAATCCCCTATTGGAACGCGGTTTCACAATGAACTCCACCACCATAATGCTACCATGTTTGAGTGAACACCTCCCTCGCGGGCATTAGAGCTGCCACCAATTCAACCACGGCTCGGCCATTTGTCACCCCAAAACCTGCAACACACGTCCCTACCTACACGACATAGCCACATTCCTCCCGGCACCGACACGACCACCGACTCCCCTTCCAGTGCCATAACTACCAAAGAAAAGGAAAATTGTGCAGAAGTATTGTGCATTCCCTATCTGTTAGTAGCAAACAAACAAAAAACATTATGATCCGTATGGGCCATATGTATAGGCCACGGAGAGTCAAAACACTCCCTCTGTTGCATAAACATTTGTCCTGAGAGGGGGACTTGAAATGGAGGCCACAATGTCCTCCTACTAAAGGCCATAAAAGTCCATCTGGACTAATGTGAAAAAAAAAAAACGCAACTTGACTTGACTGGCTAGGCCTGCATCTTTTTTCAATACATGGTCAGTTTCAATCCAATTGCTCTGCTAGACGCAGCCGATCTATCTAACAGCTACAGAATCACATTAATTCCATAAGGGACTGTTAATCCACATTAATCCCATAATGGACTGCTTACATAATCACATTAATCCACGTTAATCCCATAATGGACTGCTTATTCACCTTGGATTCGTTCTGACAACCAATCTGTCAACCACTTCTTGATTCGTTGGTTTTTATTTGTCCTGTACTAGCACTTTGTGGTATGTCAACCACTTCTTAATTTGTCCTGTAGCACTTATCTTAGTCACCATATCTAATGCAAGATGATATGTGTGAATGATGCAAAAAGAAAAACACTAAGGAAAAAAAAAAATTAATGTGATACCCTCGCAAAATTATTTATCACACAGATTCTCTTATAGATATACGTGTAGAACACTTACACAGAACACTTGTGAATAAACAAATATATAAAGACTGTTGAATGCGGCTAACTCTAAGCACTCTAGAGCTATTGACACATAATAAACAAATAAATAAAGAATGTTGAATGCGGTAACTTTAAGCACTCTAGAGCTATTGACACGTATCGATGCACATGGTTTGTATTGTCAGACCTTGTATGTGTATAGAGAGCGAGCTTGTTCCTCACTTACTTTTACCTGACGCCAAAAAAAAAAAAAAAAAAAAACGTAATTACCTCAAGTAACTGCTCGTCATGAGACAACTTAGGTGTTATTGGATAATTCAAATCAACACTTAATTCTAGACAAATTAAGCACTTATTAAATTAAGTGTATTTAATAATGTAATTTGAATATCACTTAAAGGAGATAGTACTTATCATTGAAGGTTAAACCGTAAGAATTAAAAAAAATAAAAATATGTCATATGTACTTAAAAACTTTACGTTTTACACTTAAAAGGAATAGTAATATTTAAATCCTAAGTGATAGATATGTCATATGTATATATATAAACTGTAGCCATTGGTGAGCTTATTCTTTAAAGAAGTATTTTAATTGTCATATGAAATCATTTTATTAAAGAAATGAACACGTACATCCGATCTAGGCCCTGCATCCTTTTTCAATCATTTTATGTTTACATGCACGGGAAATAGTAAAGAAATATCTTATAAGGTTTTATGCTTTGTGGAAAATTACAAAGCATATGGTAAAAGTTAAAATAAATAAATAACACTAATAAAAGTTATATATATACGTGTGTAATATATTCATCTTCGATCATATTACCACGTATAAGATTATAATAAGAACTAAAACATCAAAGATTAAGTGATTTATGTTTAAGCGATAGTTATATCCATCCAAAGAGATATAATAGTTGCTTGTGATTACATGGTGAAACTAGCTATAAAATAAAGTTTATGGCACTAATCAAGAGAACAATACCATAAAATCTAACAAAAAATAATAATTAAAAAGAAAGTGGGAGAAGAAATGAATTGAAAGAAGTTTAGGAATAGAAGAAAGCTAAATTATTATTAATTGTTTTTTTCCAAATTTAAATTAGAGAAGATTTGGAGAGGTAAATTATTTTTAGAAAAGAAGTTTAGGAATAGAAGAAATAGAATTATAAAGAAGAAGTAGGAAAAAATTAAATTTATATATTAAAGATTTATTATTAATAAAAAGAGATAGAGATAGAGATATAGATAGAGATAGAGATAGAGATAGAGATAGATCATTTTTATTACTCCGTATTATTTTTAGGAGAGTGATTGACAATTAATGTTTGTTTAGGGTTAGTTGACAACCCGCGCTTTTTCAGTACTTAACTTCTGTAACTGCGATTTCATATTTAATTATTCTGTTCAGTTCAATAAATAAATATTGTCTGATTTATAATCAATTATGTTGATAATTCTTTAATTGTTTTTTGATAATTAACGTCCATAAAAGACGCACTTCTATCATAATCTCCAACTACAATACATAGACAGTTTAGAGAGAGAGAGAGTCACAATCTCGCGTTTCTTTTCGAATATTTTTCTTCATCACAATGTCGCCCCTTGCTGATCTAATGCACTTGAATCTCTCTGATACCACTGAGAAAGTCATTGCAGAGTACATATGGTTTGTTAATTCTCACAAATCTCTCTTTTGTTCAATTTTTGTGATTTTCTTCTATGTTGGTAGGTATTTCGTGTATCAATAATATACATACGCATCAATACGTATATGTCTTTCTATTTGGAACTTGTTAGATTTTCATTAATGGTTTTTTTTTATTATTATTTTAAATCCTAATCTCATGAGTTCTTCGTTTTATCCATCTATCTGTGCTGGCAGTGTTTACTGGATTTTTATTTATAAAAATAATAGTAATAATAATAAATTAGTATTTTCGATCATTAATATATATATATATACATATATATATATATATATATATATATATATATATATGTTTAGAAGATTAGGATTGCAAATGAAATTATAAGAGAAAAATTAGGATTGGCGAAGAAAAAGTAAGAGATATTAGAATTACTTGGTTTGGACACGAGGGAGTCTGAAATTTGTTTAGTTTATATTATCTAAAAATTAATGCAAAAAAATTAAATACTGATTGATAATTTGTTTTGACATATAAAATAATTTTAATAAATTGCAAAGCTTTATCATAGTTTTGATTTTTAGAAAAACAATTTTAAGAGAAATGGAAAAAAATATATATATACAAATCGTTTTTGTTTTATAACCTAAAATGAATTTTTTATCAAAAAGAATGAGATTAGGTAAATAAGAGAGGATTTTGTACTAGCCTAGGGTCAAACAATAACTTGATGAAAAAGATTTTTATTATTCTTTCTTCTTGTTTCCAATTTGGAGAAAGATTGTGGAGATGAGGTAAAAAATTATGTGCAAAAGAGTGTTTATGAGAGAAATATTTTATAATTAATAAAAGAGATGACTAAATGATCTAAGACGTAATATTTTTTTTCTAAGTAATTTTTCTTATTTTTAGTTATATATATTTATATATTTATGAAATTTTAACATTGCGCCCGAAATTACAAAAATATTTCTTTTGCCCTCCATACAGATGATGATGATCACTATACTTATATGTCATCCTATTTGGAACTTTTTATTGATGAGTTTTTGGTTCATATACTTTTGAAATTTTAACATTGTTCCTCTGAAATTACAAAAATATTTCGTCTACCCCATACATAGGGATTGAGGCAATAATGATGATGATCATCATCTATACTTATATATCATCCTATTTGGAACTTGTTATTAATGAGTTTTTCGTTTATATACTTTTGAAAGTTGAACATTGCCCCCTAAAATTATAAAAATATTTCTTTTGCCCCCTATACATAAGGATTGAGGCAACAATGATGATGATCATCTATACTTATATGTTATCCTATTTAGAACTTGTCATTGATGAGTTCTTCATTAATATACTTATGAAATTTTAACATTGCACCCCTGAAATTATAAAAATATTTCTGAGGCAACAATAATGTTGATAATGAATATCTATACTTATATGTCATCCTATTTGAAACTTGTTATTAATGAGGTCTTTGTTCTATCTACTACCTCCGTTCCAGAAAAAAGTGTCGCTAATGGGAAACCGTGTCAGTTCAATTTGTGAGAGTCACGATTTCCTAAAAGTGATATTTTTTATGGGACGGATGGAGTATTTAACTGCTGGCCTTTTTAATGGATTTATTAAATAATAATAATAATAATAGTAGTAGTAAATTATTTTTGTTGATATTTGTGTCTTAATCATTGAACAGGATTGGTGGGTTTGGAACGGACCTTAGAAGCAAAGCTAGGGTAATACTTTTTTACATCTATAATTACATGTTTGTGTGTGTATATGTGTGATTTTTCTCTTTTTTAGGTCTTATTTTGCTTATTGATCTATTTTTGCCATAAATATATATATATATATATATATATAGACACTCCCTGTAGTAGTTACTGATGCTTCAAAGCTTCCAAAGTGGAACTATGATGGTTCTAGCACAGGCCAAGCAACTGGTGAAGACAGTGAAGTAATCTTACAGTATGTCTTGCTTCATTTCACTACATAATTGTTAGTTTCATTCCTTTTTTCTTTTTTTCTTTTTTTTTGTAAAATTAACATTTATTGATCTCTCAAAATAGTCCTCAGGCAGTATTTAAGGACCCATTCAGGAGAGGCAACAACATTCTTGTAAGTGCATGCTATTTCATCAATTAATTGATTTATCAAATAATTGAGAGAAAAGTTAATAATTGCTAAATTTGTGTTCATGTATATATTTTTTGGTACTTTTTATTAATATTTACAGGTGATGTGTGATGCTTGCACTCCGGCCGGTGAGCCCATTCCAACTAACAAGAGGTATAATGCTGCAAAGATATTCAACCAACCTGATGTTGTTGCTGAGGAACCTTGGTAAGTTCCGGTTTGTTTTTATTCAAGTGTTCATCAAAAGAAATTTCAATCTTTTTGTTTGTGTAATTTATGCTTTTAAGTTTTTATGATTTCCTTTTGTAATGATAGTTCTTCCAACTCAATTACTAACTAAAACAATTTTTTAAAAACAGGTATGGTATAGAACAAGAGTATACCTTATTGCAGAAAGAAACAAAATGGCCCGTTGGGTGGCCTCTTGGAGGTTATCCTGGACCTCAGGTAATTGAGTACGTTTTTCCTTCTCCGGTGATTTTTCTAGTACTTTCCTTTCTTCCATGCATAATCACCGGAATGATTTTTCTAGTTTGTTTTGATCTTATGCACAAAATGAAACCCTAGATTAAATATAACAACATTCATCTAAATACAACTCTAGAATTTCATAAAACATACATACAATGTATATCAACCACAAAGAACACAAGATACATAAAAAATATAAACATAAGGCAACCATTACCTCACTAGAGAATTGTATATCTAGAAACCTCAAAGAAATAAAAGCAAATGTGAAACCAAGGTAAGGTGTGGAAGACAAGGATGGTACCCACGGTTGGTTGCCCTAGTCTTTCAGCACCTCCGTAGGGATGAGGTTGACCCAGAGGTCTTACACACCACAGTGGATCATCAGGACATCATCATTTCTCCACATTGAAGTAGATTGCAATTTTATTCGATCTAAAGTTGACTCGAATGAGATTGCTAAACTTTTTATCATTGAAATTTTATTTTTGGGTGCATCCAACATTACATATCATTCAACTTTTTCATCATTGGTCACCACTTGAGCCACTGGAATAGAATGAGATAGCGGGACAGCAACTAGTTTCTGCCCCTGAAGGGATGGAGCGACAAAAGTTTTGAGAATTTAAGAAAAGGTCACAGCAAGACGAGTCATTTATGATTACCATAAACGACTTCCCCTTCTACCAAGGAGCATGTTCCTTTGGTTTGTTTAGTTGGTTGGAACTCGTTGTGCATATTCTTTTTATTTATAAAAGCTTACCCTTTTAACAAAAAATATATATATATATACATGTCTTATGTGTCAAGTGGAAGTGCAGTGATCAAACTTTGTGGATGTTAATTCTTTATATGACCAATATTGGACTTTCTTAAAGTGAACCTAATGTTGGTTAAGCATAGTGACTTAAAATGGTTCTTCAGGGAACACTTCTTTGTGAGTTTCAATATGATCCCATTTTACATCATCCAACAAGAAGATATTGCCTCCTTTCTTAACAAATTACACGTACGCTTCACATATGATCGGTTCAATCATGTTCCGAAATAACCCTATTATCATTATGCCGGTGTTAGTGTGTCAGTATTGTTCTGAAATAGAGGTTGGATAAAAATTTGTGTTGTGAAAGAGCCTGAAATGATCGAACCTCGTTTGTTGTGTAATGTCATTGCTGTTTGTATCTGAATATAGCAGAATTATTTGTGTTTGGTGTGACAGGGTCCCTATTATTGTGGGATCGGCGCTGACAAAGCCTTTGGCCGTGACATTGTTGATTCTCATTACAAGGCCTGTCTTTATGCCGGAATCAACATCAGTGGCATCAACGGAGAAGTGATGCCAGGCCAGGTAAAAATCGATTCGTGGTTATTAATCTATTCCATTTTTCTTTCCTCCTTGCGTTCACATTCATGTTGCATTATGAAATACATATTATGTTTATGGTTCTTTCCCTTTCAATGCCTCTTCGTCTATCGTACAGTGGGAATTCCAAGTTGGCCCTGCCAAGGGCATCTCTGCTGGGGACGAGCTATGGGTGGCTCGCTATATTCTGGAGGTACTTATTAAAATAATCAGTTGTACGTCAAATACAAGAAAAAGTATTGATCTATGTAATGGTATGTGAAGTATAAACTAAACCTTATGATACATTTTTCTGAATTAACAGAGGATAACAGAGATTGCCGGAGTGGTTGTTTCTTTTGACCCGAAACCTATTCAGGTTAGTACCTTTATCCTGGAGATCCCTCTCCATTCGTATAAAGTCTATTATAAGCACTTCAACCGAACCGTTCTTCGCCATTGTATTATTGTAGATCTTTTTATTTTGTTTCATTTATATGCATTGTCTTCTGTGTTGCTAGGGTGACTGGAATGGAGCTGGTGCTCACACGAATTACAGGTATTATTCATCTCTTCTTCCTTTTTCTTTAGAAATGTTGAATAATTCTCTTCCTCTCTATCTTTTTTCTTTAGAAATGTTGAATAATCATTTTATTTTTTCTGTGTTGGTATCAGTACCAAGTCCATGAGAAGCGATGGAGGATTTGAAGTTATAAAGAAGGCCATTGAAAAACTAGGGTTGAAGCACAAGGAACATATTGCTGCTTACGGAGAAGGCAATGAGCTCCGTCTTACTGGAAAACACGAAACAGCTGACATCAACACCTTCTTATGGGTAAAGAAAGATTTTGTCTATTATATAGAAGTCATCTTAATTCTGTTTGGTTGTTATGGTGATGAATCATGAATTCTTTTCCTTCCTCTCTCTCTTGTCCAATGTATCACATTTTCATAAAATTCGAAAGCATCATTGGTTGGAAACTTTTTTTCCATTTTTTTTTTTCTTTTTCTTTTCATGATACTCATAGTCGTATACATGCATTGTTTATTGATAGGGAGTGGCAAATCGCGGAGCATCGGTTAGGATTGGCCGGGAGACGGAGAAAGCAGGAAAAGGTTATTTCGAGGATCGAAGGCCTGCATCAAACATGGATCCTTATATTGTTACTTCCATGATTGCAGAGACAACCATCCTCTGGAAACCATAAAGCCAGAGACAACCGACTCTGCATTCCCTGTTTACTAGTTTGTTCTTGCGTGTTTGGGGCAGGTATTGCCTATTTATTACTTTACCTCTGTCTGGATGACAAATAAACAAGTGATAAGTGAGACTTTTTTTTCATGAATGGGTTGTCTATCATAGCCAAAATATGAAACAATCAAGTACTACAAGGCTAAAAAGAGATGAGCAATCTTTCTAACTCCAAACCCACCCTGTTGATGAGGAGTGGTCACCCTAGACCACGTAGTGAATTCTCTTCACCCCCTCTTCATGACTAAAAATGAAACACTTCGGGTGTAAAATTTTGATATCAACATCGCCTAGCTCTAGCTCTAGCTCAAGTGGTAGCACCTCTTCCTTCACAGGTTGAGGGTACGTTTGAGTCGCTAATGAATCAATAATTGGTGGGTATGTATTATTTTCTATGAAGAAAATAGTTGGCTTTAATGTAAGTGATCAAGACACAGAATTGCATTATAGCCATAGAAGACCTTGACTATGATTTCTGTCATTTCCTTTCCCGGAAAAATGAGATGTACGAGGCTATAAATGATCGAGTTTGACACTATAACGTGATTTCTTCATTTCCTTTCTTTTTTCGGAAAAATGAGATGTACGAGGCTATAAATGATCGAGTTTGACACTACAACGTGATTTCTGTCATTTCCTTTTCCGGAAAAATGAGATGTACGAGGCTATAAATGATCGAGTTCGACACTCCAACAAATTAGGCCAGAGATGAGGTGTGCCATGACTTTTCTAGTTTCATTTTCCATTCATTTTGGCATAGTGGCACATGATCAGATTATTAAGGTTTGTCCATATAATTAAATTTTAATTTGACTTCACAAAAATGTAGGAGCAGAGGAAAAGGAAAAACAAAAACACAAAAAGGGAAAAAGAAAACAAGAAATAAAAAGATGAAAAGAAATAAAATATATTAAGTAATCATATGGTGGTCCATTTATATTCTTAACCTAATTAGCTAAATTGTGTATTATGAGTCAAAATCAATTGGCATATTATTTTGATTTTTATGATGCAATTAATTAAAATTATTTATCATGTGATCGATCTACATGTCTCCCCACTTGATATTAATGGCTATTATTAGTCAATGGTCAATTGGCTTGAAATTGGTGACCAATTAAAAAACTCCTCATTTTTCCACATGCTTTGGTAAATCCAATCAAGTAAGCTTGCCAGCATCAATTCTAATTCTAGTCCCCTCTTATACGTTATAGATTTATGGTCTTTTAACTTTTTATAATTCAATCCTCAATTGTGACATCTAAGGCACTATTAATACTTTTTTAATTCCCTATTTTACGTTAAAGACTTCCTTCATTTGAATGATACTTGCAGTAAATTTCAATGAAGAATGCATGTCTCAAAAGAAACTTTGACATTGGACTTGACTAGTGATTTAAAGAATATAGGAATATAATATATATGTATAATATATTATATTGGAATATATATTATAATATATTATATCTTTTAGCTTTTTCTAATTCAATAGTCAATTGTGAAATCTAAGGCACTATTAATACTTTTTAAATTTCCTATTATGCGTTAAAGACTTCTTTCATTTGAATGATACTTGCAGGAAATTTTTATGAAGAATGCATGTCTAAAAGGAAACTTTGACATTGGACTTGACTAGTGATTTAAAGATAAGATATTGAAATATAATATATATGTATACTATACATATATATTATATTCCAATAAAGATGAGATGTATGAGGTCCTAGATGAGTTTGAGGTGCATCTTGACTTCTAGTTTCATTCACTTTCGATTGTCATAACATATGTAGTTGTAAAATTATATAAACAATCTTACACATAAATTAGAATCTTAAATCGATCTGTTATAAGAAAGAAACTAAGAGCATAATACATGACCTTTAATTTATATTTCAACAATTTACATATTAAAACTATTTATGTTGACAAGGTCACAATAATAACAAAAATATGAATTTACAATGAATAGAGAACATGTATAAAGATTAGTTTCTCAATATTTATAATTAGAAAAAAAAAAAAAAAAAAAAAAAAAAAAAAAAAACACACACATTTGTCATTAGAAACAACATAATTCACATGGTTTGTTCTTGTGAGTTTGGGGCAGGTATTGCCTATTTATTACTTTAGCTGTGTTTGGATGACAAATAAACAAGTAATAAGTGACTTTTTGTTTTTTCATGAATGGGGTGTAAAGCATGAAACAATCAGTACAACGCTAAAAAGAGATTAAATTTTTTTTTTTTGGAATAGATTTTCTTTTTTAAGTAAAATATTTTTTTATTTTTACTTTTTATGTGTTTGGAGAAGGTTTAGTTCATCGAGCGGGGCGCGTAAAATAACTTACCGAAAATTGATGGATAAGTTATTATTATTAAGTTTTAATATTTTTTTTCTTCGTATAAATTTTAGACAATCAAACACCAAAAAATAAATGTATAATTTTTGAAAAATATATATTTTACATTCAAACAAAGGAGGCCTTTTTTTTTTTTGGTTCAATGTTGATTCTAAATCTTCTGACAGATGGAGGAAGATTAAACTCTAAGAGCCCAAAAATACCTCAAAGCTAGGGTTGAGGGATAGGTGACATTTTAATTGTAGGAATTATTATACTTGTTCATGTGTTATAAGACACATTTTGGTCTCAAAAACTTCCAACTCTTTAGGGTTGAGGTATAATGTGCAACAGGAGAATTTTGTGCAAACAACCCTTTCTCTTTTTTGTTCGAAGGTATAAAAAAAAATTGAGAATAAGAATGGGAATGTTATTTATTTATTTATTTATTTTCATACTAATATTTTTTAGGGTAAAGTACAACCACACCCCTTGAGGTTTGACAAAAAGACACTCAGAACAAACTTACCTGTTTTTTGGACGAAGACACCCCCTGAAGGTTCAAAAATGGACAAAGACACCCCTTTAAGTGAAAATTTGACCAAATTACCCTTTGACCGTTTAGGAGACTTTTTTTACTTTACAATTTAATAAATTGGATCAATATATCCTCATGAACAATTTATGCATAAAAAAAAGTTTAAAAAAAAAAAAAAAATTTATACTGTTCACTTTTTTTTTTTTTTACTTTATAAATGTCCCAATTTCTTAAAAATGTAGACGTATAAAATGATTTTTTGATCCAATATATATATTTCAAATAAATTATATTTTGTTATTACTTCTTTTCTTTCTCTTTTTTATTTTTAAATTAAGATGTTTAATTCTTTTGTCTAAAAAAATTAAACTAATCTCTTTTCCTTAAAAATAAAAAATATGGTACTAGTAAGTACTAGTACCAAGCATCTTAATTTAAAAATAAAAAAGAGAAAGAAAAGAAGTAATAACAAAATATAATTTATTTGAAATATATGTATTGGATAAAAAAATCATTTTAAATGTCTACATTTTTAGGAAGTAAGAAGTTGGGACATTTATAAAGTAAATAACAAAAAAAAAAAAAAAAAGTGAACAATATAAAGTTTTTTTTTATGCATAAATTGTTCATGAGGGTAGATTGGTCCAATTTATTAAATTGTAAAATTAAAAAAGTCTCATTAACGGTCAAAGGGTAATTTGGTCAATTTCCCATGTAAAAGTGTGTCTTTGTCCATTTTTGAAACTTCAGGGGGTGTCTTTGTCCAAAAAACAGGTAAGTTTTCTTTTAATGTCCTTTTACCAAATTTCAGGAGTGTGACTATATTTTACCCTATTTTTTAATTCTGTAACATCTTTGACAAGATACTAATAATAATAAATGTAATGCGGCCCAGCAACTACATTCTCTTCTAAACAAAAAAACCTTTTAATGTTGAGAGTTGAGACATTTGATGTCATAATATCTCTGTCAAGTTAAGTTAAATTTGGTCCAAATGGCAAATCTCTTTGTTAAGAGTTAGAAGGATAGACTATGAGTTTATATAGATACATCGATATGGTAAATTTTTAAAAAAATAGCATACGGGAGCCATGATTTGAATTCTAGGAGCATGGTGGGAATTTTTTTATAAAAAAAGAAAATAAGAAGAAAAAGGTAAAGAAAAATGAATTTTGTAGGAAACAAATTAGAGTATGATTAAATAAAAGGAATTTAACCTTTTTAAAAAGGTAAGTAAAGAAATTTAAAGAGAAAAAGATAAAAAAATAGAAAAAAATTTAAAAAAATTTGGAAACTAATAATTTTAGAGAGTATAATATACAAATTTCTATATATATATATATATATATATATATAAATCATATATATACATATGGTTGGCCAGACAGCTACAGTAGGAATGGCAAATTTTTTTAATATATATATGTATATAAATTATTTTTTGGTTAATTTTTTAAAAATATTATGAATCTAAATACAATCATTAATATAACATAAAAGTTGGTTTCATAACAAATAAACACAAGCATCCCTAGTCATCACTTAACAAAATTAAAACTTTTTTTTTAACAATTATACTATGTTATTATTATTGAAAAAGTTGCATTTTAATGTTCAAACTTTTTTTAAATATATTATGAATTATTCGATAAGTGTCGGATACGCAATCGAAATATTTGAAAAATATCTGAGAAGATAAATGTTAGAAATTAATTAATATTTTTAAAAAAAATTATGGATAAGTTTAAAAAGTATCGGATACGTATTTGCAAGTATCTGTGAAGCATTGGTACCCAACACGTATCTTATACGGGTAAGTTACTCTTCTAGAAGTATCCACACTTCTTATGTTAAGAGTTATGATACAATGGCTTAGGATTTTAGCAAATGTTGGGCCTAATTCATCCAAGGAGTTAGGGCCAAAAAATTTGATATTTTTTTTATTATACCCTAAAAATATAATTGTTTTGCAAATAGGTTCGACTTTTGGTCTCAAAATTCATACAAATTTCAATTGGCCCTCCCAAAATTTTCAAAACACTTATGTATAAAAAAATAATGGAAATAAATTTAACCTGCATTTTTCAAAATTAAATTTTAACTCGAATCTTTTTAGCCTTTACTTTTGAAGTCCAATATTGGGAAACAAAATTT